TGGTTTCTCAGGTCCCCTCTCTACCTAACTGCACTTTGCCACCATTTCTATTATAGAGTGGACAAGTCCTCACTGTGGACAACTCATGCTGTTGCAGGAATAAGGTGCTTAAATTTCCCAGAGTGTCTGCCGCCTGGAAGGCAAGGAACAAATCTCTGTTCTACATCCCCCCGCATGTACTCAGTGGTTTCTAGTATTTCTCTACTTACTCCCCCTGGATTCTTGACCCCTAGGGTGTCCTATAGAGGGGGTGGGGAGGGTCTNGTTCGGATCCCATATAGGGATGGCCGGTTCGCTCACTGGGTGAGCGTGGTGCTGACAACACAAAGTCAAGGTTAAGATCCCCTTACCAGTCATCTTTAAAAAAAAAAAAAAATTGGCTCCTTCAGAGTTTCTCCCAGTTCTCAGACTCCTTCCTCTCCCCTTTGGGGCCATCTGGGTGCAGACAAGATGTAGGGAAGGAGTCGCGATCGCCCTTTACTTTTCTGCTTGCCCCCCTCCTTGACAGCAGTTGAGGTGCGGCTCACGCTCCTGGTCTTCAGGTGGCAGCTTCTGTCCTCTGTGCACTTGGCCAGTTAATAGTGAGTGGTCTGGGTCTCAGCACCGCCACTGCATGGGGACTGCTACTGGTGTTTGGCCATCACCCCTTGTGCGTCAGGCTCCCCATCCCAGTTGTCAGGGTGCTGCTGCCTCTTCCGTCTTCAGCCACCTTCCATCTTCCCCACAGGGTCATGCGAGAACTTGGGAATTCCTGCCATGCCACACGCAGGCCATGGGGAATGGTGGTTTTTCAGGTCCTCTCTCTACCTAACTGCACTTTGCCACCATTTCTATTATAGTGTGGACAAGTCCTCACTGTGGACAACTCATGTTGTTGCAGGAATAAGATGCTTAAACTTTCCAGAGTGTCTGCTGCCTGGAAGGCAAGGAACAAACCTCTGTTCTACATCCCTCCGCATGTACTCAGTGGTTTCTAGTATTTCTCTACTTACTCCCCCTGGATTCATGACCCCTAGGGTGTCCTATAGAGGGGGTGGGGAGGGTCTAAGGAAGTCCCATCCGACCTCTTGTCCTGCACCTCTTCTCCTGCTACTTCACATCCCAACACACCTGCCTCTGCTTCGTGTTGCCGCCTCTCTGTGCTGCGGCCAACAGCCAACTTCTTCCGCATTTGTATTTTAAAAGAATTTTGAAACACTTTCTATGTACACATTTTTATATAATGTCTATGAAATATTATTAGAAATGTGTAATCGCTATAAAAATGTAATTTCTGGTGTACTGTATATCCTCTACTATTGGCTTATTTATTGTTCTTTTTAAACATTTTTTAGTAGTTGCCCAAAGGTTTGTCATGTGCATCTTTAGCTTGTCACAGTTCACGTTGAAACAATACTGAGCAGCTCCCCGTGGTGTAAGCACTTAGAGCGGGGCACTCGCAGCCTTCCCTCCTGGCTTAGTCTGCTCAGGCTCCCGTGACAAAGTACCACGGACTGAGTGGCTTCAACAGCAGAAACTGATTTCCTCACAATTCTGGAGACTAGATGTCTGAAATCAGGGTGTCTGCAGGGTTGTTTTTTCCGAGGCCTTTCTCCTTGGCTTGCATGTGGCCTCCCTTCTCCCTGGGTCTTCACATGGTCTCACCTCTGTGCCATTCTGTGTCCTAATCTCCTCTTCTAATAAGGATCCAGTTGTATTGGATTAGGATTCACCCTAGTAACCTCATTTTATCTTAATTATGTCTTTAAAGACCATATCTCCAAATATAGTCTTATTCTGAGGTACTAGGGGTTAGGACACCAACATGTAAACTTCGAAGAGATGCAATTCAATCCACAACACCTCCCATTTTTTGCAAAACTTGTATGTTTTGTGTTACCACTCACTGTGGTAGAGCATCTACAGTTCGTCAGAAGGGAATTAGTAGATGTTCTTCATAGGTGCCATCGACTCGTATGAAACTGACACCCTCAGTAAACCCATTTACTCTGAAAATGATCTGAAATGTGGTCCTGAAAATGCGGCACTCATTTGGGGATGCAGCATGGCTCAGGATTGTTGCCATGGAGGTGGCCATTGCCCTTTCTGAAATTTGGGGACTGGCATAGCATCTGAATCCTTTATGAGGCTATTTTTCAAAACCATTGTTTGTTTTTCATAGTTAGCCCTCCTTTTTAACAGAATGCTGTGATTGTATCCACTCCAAGAGCATTATACAAATGGACTGTGTTCCTTAAGTATGGAAAAACTCATCAGGTAATTTGCCTGTGTCTGCTTGTTTAGGTCTTGTTTCATGTTAACAATGGTGCTGGTAGGATAACAGCCACATATGAGCCCAAACCTACCAATACTCTCTGTGATGGAAAATGGCATACACTTCAGGCTAACAAAAGCAAACACCGTGTTGTTCTGATTGTCGATGGGAAAACAGTTGTTGCTGAAAGTCCACACACCCAGTCCACCTCGGCGGACACCAACAATCCCATTTATGTTGGTGGCTATCCTGGTACGTCTTGACACCTGCTTTGCATATACACTTTGAAGGGGCACTTTACTGAGGGAAGTTCTAGATCAAGCGGGTATAGAATAGGGATTGAGAAAGATATGTGGTTTGAGTGACAAAGCCTTTACCATTTTAGAAAAGCTATTTCAAATACCTAGGAATTCTTATAAACAATGAAATAATCTATATAGACAAGATAATTATTAGGTAAGACCATGAGAACAGTGCATCCGATGTCAATTAAGCGGGCTGACTTTAGTGAGGTGAATCGTCGCAGGTAACTCCCAGAGTTGAGAATCGTTTTAGGGGGCAAACATGTGACTTATCCTCTCACATCAATGTTGAATTAGAATTACGCATTTCAGATGATCCAAGGAGTTATTACAAATAATAAAGATCTGTTTTATGAATATTTAAGTCACAACTATGCCTTAAAATTATTATAGATTAAAAGTTTTCTATGAATTCTGCTATTCACTGAAGCCACATATGTGAACAAACATTCTTCTGATTTCGGTGGAGCACCTACTGGGAATTATTTGTGTTCCTGTTGTGCTACCTCTGTCATTCGACAAAATTAAGCAAGGTTTGTCTTTTCTTCTTCCCTGCACAGCTGAGGTGAAGCGGAACTGCCTGAGCAGCCAGACCTCGTTCCGGGGTGTTTGAAGCTCACGTTCATTGAGGGTCCACATGTGCCATCCTGTGACTTCAGCAGTGCTTGTGACCTACAGGGAGCTTTCCCTCATTCCTGTCTTGGGACTGAACCCTGACTCCAGACAAAATCCTCAGTTGCAATCCTTGCTTATATTTTGAGGAGAATTATTTTTATGAACTAAAATCTCTTCAATTCAGATTTCATTTCCAATTCAGGTTAAGTGTTTCCACAGAGAAATGTTGTATTTATATTAAAGTAAAGCCACGTGTACAGCGAATACCTCTATTAAATAGTCTAAAATGTAAATTGAATTCATTTGCTGTCTTTTTTAAAGCTTTTTTAAAATAAATATTTGTAAACATTGAGTGTTTTGTTGATTACTTGACAGCGTTTCATATTTTGTATTTTGAGCTTTTAAAAATAAAATATTGCAGACTATAATAGATTAATGCAGTGTATAAATGCTTTCATTTCTTTATGAAAATTTTAAGCTCTAATTTCGACAGCAGACAAGCAGTGCCAACTGTTGACATTCTTCTAATTTCGGTGGAGCACCTACTTGAGATTATTTCTGTTCCTGTTGTGCTACCTCTGTCATTTGACAAAATGAAGCAAGGTTTGTCTTTTCTTCTTTCCTGCACAGCTGAAGTAAAGCAGAACTGCCTGAGCATCCAGACCTCGTTTCGGGGGTGTTTGAGAAAGCTCACGTTCATTAAGGGCCCACATGTGCAATCCTATGACTTCAGCAGAGCTTTTGACCTACAGGGAGTTTTCCCCCATTCCTGTCCTGGGACTGAACCCTGACTCCAGACAAAATCCTCAGTTGGAATCCTTGCTTATATTTTGAGAAGAATTATTTTTACAAATTAAAATCTCTTCAATTCAGATTTCATTCCAACTCAGGTTAAGTGTTTCCGCAGAGAAATATGTTTATATTAAAGTAAAGCCACATGTACAACGAATACCTCTATTAAATAGTCTAAAATGTAAATTGAATTAATTGGCTGTCTTTTTTTAAAGCTTTTTAAAAATAAATATTTGTAAACATTGAGTGTTTTGTTGATTACTTGACAGTATTTCATATTTTGCATTTTGAGCTTTTAAAAATAAAATATTACAGACTATAATAGATTAACACAGAGTATAAATGCCTTCATTTCTTTATGAAAATTTTAAGCTCTAATTTCGACAGCAGACAAGCAGTGCCAACTGTTGCCACATAAGCCTTCAGAGAGGTTCCAGCAAGTCATGGGAGGCAAAGGGGACAAATCAAATGACAAAACCTCCCTTTGACATGTCCCTGTTCTATCAGGACCTGATCTTCCAGTGCATTTTGCAGGACAGAAAAAAAAAAAAAGGCATCGCAGCAAGTTAGCTCTTCTTTTATTGTCAATTTTATTTTCAACCCTTGGAATGAAACAGTTTTCCTTGATCAGCTACTTTTTTGGTAGAATGTGTGTAATTTGAAAAGAAGGAAAACTTAAAAGCCGTATGTATATATGTATCTTCTTTTAATGGACTATGCAGCTATAAGCCCAGATTTCTGGAGTCTCTCTCGTTTGGTCCCCTCCAAATGTATTTTGTTTCTGTTCAGTGGCCATGGCTGGAGTCAAAATGTCTGCTACCCCATATGTTCCAGAAAAATGACTTCATTTTTCAAATGCTTACTTGAAGGGAGGTCTCTACCTCTCCTCTCTTAAAGGGTCCCATCAAGAGAAAATCCACTTCTCTCCCCTTTGGCCTTTCATGGAGCACAATGTAGAGGGGTAAGTTTAGGTTGTTAATTTGAGATCTTTCTTGTTTTGATGTAAGCGTTTACTGCTAAAAATTTCCTTCTGAGTACTGCTTTTACTGCATCCCATGAGTTTTGGTGTGTCATTTCATTTTGATTTGTCTCTAGGTATTTTCTAAATTCCCTTGTGACTTCTTTGGCTCATTAATTGAGTGTGTTGTTTAGTTTCCACGTGTGATTAGGGGTCAGGCAGGATCTCTTCTGGATCTGAGGGTGTCAGGTGTCTTTTTTATTCTCTTGCTTCAGAGAGTCTGGATGGACCCAATGGATGGAAGCTACAGGAGGCCAATTTAGATTTGACTGAACGTTAAGGATTCGAGCCACCAGACAGTGGTCACCTCCCCGTTCCTGGGCTGGCTAGACATTTGCCAGGGAGGCTGGGCCTTACTGTGAAAAGAGCATGGCTTTGGAAATGAAAAGTCTCTCGGCTAAAGGTTTGGGGTTGGTCAGTCATTTAATTCTCGAAGCTTGAATTTCCTCCTCTCTAAAATATTGACAAGAATATTCTCCCTGGAACCTCGTACATTGTGGAGGAGGTTGAATTTGATAGCAGCATGGGAAAGTGCTTTGCACAGTAAGGTGACGAGAGGAGCTAACAATTATTATTTGCTCCTGTTCCAGTACTATTAAGGCTTTCTTTATGCAGTCTCACTTAATCCTCACATCAGCTCTTTGTGGTAGGCATTTTTATTATTATCCTTACTGTACAAATGAACAGACCATGGCTCAGAGAAATTAAGTATATTTCCTAAGGTGCTACAGTAGGTAGGAGCAGAATAAATACTTGAATTTGTGCAGACTGACTCAGAGCCCATTTGCTCAGTTCTGCATTACTGAACCCAAATCCAAAGTTTCTTTTGTTGTTCTTGGTATATTATAGAACCAACTCCTAATATGGGCAAGACACTCAACTATATTTCTTCTAAGTCCAACAGTGAGATTCTTTTTTTTTTTTTTTTTTAAAGATGACCGGTAAGGGGATCATAACCCTGACTTGGTGTGGTCAGCACTACGCTCTCCCAAGTGAGCCACAGGCCATCCCTATATAGGATCCGAACCCAGGGCCTTGGTGTTCTCAGCACCACACTCCCGAGTGAGTCGCGGGCCGGCCCTCCAACAGTGAGATTCTAATAACCTCTACCAGCAGGCCTTTCATTATTACAGCTTAGTTTCTCTGAGCCTTAAGTAAACGTTTTATCTATAACAGAATCCTATCAACATGTAAATATCCCTTGCGATGGTCAAAAGAGTAAGAGAAGGTGCCCGGTGACAAACACACCGATGAGAACATTCCCTAATAAAAGAACACAGAGGAGAGTTGCATGCGGAGATAACATTAAACCACGTGCCTCTCAGCTAGTGCTTCTCACGTTGTTCCTGCTGAAAGACGAGTTTATGCTTTTTGAGTTTTTAAAAAAATTTTCAATCCATTATGTACTGACATTTTTGTAAAAGACGACAAAAATGATTTACTAGAAAAATGAAATGGAAAAAGTAGACATAGTATAAACCTGGTTTTTAATTAAATACAGCACAACAAAACTACATTTTATAACTATTATTAGAATAAATATAACAGAAAAAAATTTTAAATCAATACACATTCATTGAAAGGATGTATATAGATGATTAATACAGAGAATCCTTGTTGTACTTGTAACATTTTGTCATTCTACAAATGTGCTCACTTTTTGTTATTTATCTAATATAATTTGGGTTCGTGACACTATTTGCAGCAGATAATGTATATCTAAAAGACTTCTATGTTTTGTTTTAAAAACTCAAGTTAGAGAAACTAGTCTCAGAAGTATGTTGATTGCTAAATGTAAGAGGAGATTTTAGTTTCAGCAAGTTCAAAATACTCATTTTTAACTTGGATCTAAAATGAAACAAGTGATGCCATATTTTCAAAATTCCATTTCAATCCATCAAAAGGTAGTTCCACAATTTATCCCATAAAGTTATAGTTATATCTCAATTGCCTTTTATTGAAATTCCCTTTCAATGAAACACATAGAGCCATGATTTTCCTATATATGGATTTTCTATTAATAGAAAATAGAATTAAAGCATTCTGTCAAGTTTGTAACTTTTTACTAAAAAGTTTATAACTTTTCTGATTGGCAATATCAGGATTATCACCTACATCACTGAAAGTCATTGTTAAATTATGGAATATGTCAAAAATCTTAAAACTGTTCTTCTAAGCTTCTTACTTTTATTTTTGTCCTTCAATAACATATTCGTTTACAAAACAGGTTGCCCTTCTTCCTTGCATGGAAGTATAAAAACCATTAAAAATATTGAAGATAGCAAACAAATAAGCAAGGCTTACTGTCTGGTTTGCACTTAAAAAAGTTTAGAACCAAACTATTTCTATTTTGCAGAAACATGAAGTTTCTTATTTTGTAGAAATAGGAAGAATTTGTTTTGTATGTTCAGACGTTTTGACAGAACTTTTCTGCTTCTTAAAAATCCTAACTCAGCATGAAGTACCAGTTATGATAAACTTCTAGATTATTAAATTATAAAAGGAATAATCTTCAATTTACCCCATTCACTTTTGCTATGTCACTAAGCACACTTTTTAGTTCAGCCTACATGTTTCATAGCAGGAAATAGGTATTTTTCTACATGAAAGAAGTTACAAACTGATTACATTCAGCCTCAAAGTTCTCAGTCCGAGGAATTCTTCCAAGTGTTTCTTGCATTGTGGTTGCGCCATGAGGACATGCTCCTACTCAGAACTTAAATTCCTAAGCACAGTCGTTGACCATGAAATCCTTGTTAGTTTTTCAACACAGAAATATTGCGTTTGTCAGCAACTGTCTTAGTCTGTTTGTGCTGCTGTCATGAAATACCACAGACCAGGTAATTTATAAAGAACAAAACTTTATTTCTCACAGTTCTAAAGGGTGGGAAGTTCAAGATCAAGACACCAGAAGGTTTGGTGTCTGGGGAGGGCCTGGTCTCTCCTTCCAAGATAGTGTCTTGTTGACATGTCCTCCAGATGGGCTGAAGGCTGTGTCCTCACATGGCAGAAGGGATGGAAAGTCAAAAGAGCGCTCCCTTCAACCTTGTGATAAAGGTGCTAATCGCACACTTTTATAACGTGCTTAATGACTGCCCAAAGGCCACACCTCTTAAACTGTTGCACTGGGCATTAAGTTTCAACATGAGTTTTGAAGGGGACACACATCCAAACCATAGAAGCAGTAAAGCTAGAAAAAAATTCTATCTTTCCATCATCATGTTCAAATTACATAATACTAAAACAATTGTCATTTTTGCAATATTTGTGCACTTGTCAAGTTACAATGGAAAATAGCTGACTTTAAGTTGGCTTTGTATCTTACTAGCCAGTTCCTAAACACATCAGATGGGAAAGTAGTACTTGAGCCCTATATTTTTTGTCAATTTCACCAAATGTTTTAAGCAAACAACTCCTATACAATATTTTGCTAATCTCTCAGCAATTATAAATGGTTTTTTACTCTTAGCAACCTGAAGAACAATTCTATTTGAAGCCACCCCCCAAAACTTTAATGTTTATGTGTGAAATACTGTAAATCAACTTCTGTCAGCCTTACAATTCAAAACTTTCTTTCTCAAAGAATTCCTTTTTGTTTTGATTTTTTTTAGTAAGTAACTATCATTTGAGTACCAGCTTCATTCATGGTCACATTAGGCAGTACTTTTCTATAAATAACATCATGATTTTAGCACCTTGCCGTATAAATTTACTTGCCTGATGTAGCTACCAAATATATGTGTGTATAGATGCATATGAATATTTATATTGAAAGTCATAATTAAAAATCAGGATGTTATAAAAACAATGAATTATAAATGAATCATAAATGCGTACAGATTTATACAGCGTTCCATTATAGTTGACAAACCTTAAAATATCACACATTGTAAGGAGGTCACATTGTGCCCTCATGGGCACAAATACACAGCTCAGCTCCTGCCACGTGGCCCTCACCATGCCAGTGCAAGAGCAACCAAACTCTCTACCCCCTGTTCAACGAGACAAGTTCATTGATCATGTGCTGAGCTTCAGGGAAATGTTGTTTTGTTATATGCTTTTCCCAAAGCTTCCTCCCGTCCTTTCTGCTAATCTTGCCTTGGACCAGCAACAGTTTGCCAGTTGGCACTGGACCACGGACCAGGCACTAAATAGCATTGAATTTCCAGGTAAGCATTTGGTCCTTGGCATTGGTACGCATCCAAAATGTAAATCTATGCCGAGGACCATATGCTTACCTGGAAATGCGTGAAAGGCTATGACCATTCTTGCTCTAGTGGTTTCACCCAGCTGGTGATGTGTGTCTTCAAAA